TGGGGACATCTAATTCGAAGTGTAGACCTTGCTTGAGCATGGTGCACTGTAGGACTAAATGTTTTTGTAAGAAACGGCATTCAAAAAAAAATGAGTTATCTTGGCATACTGCTCTTGCACTATAAAAATCACGGTAGGCGAGCCTTACAATGATTCAAAAAAGTTTTTTTTTACATCACGAGTTTTTAATCTTTTAGGTCACGTTGGTGCAACAGTCGCGATATTAGTGTAATTGAAAGAAATGGAGACAGAGGAATGCGAGTTGAAGGAAGCAGACACCATACAACATTGACTGCTTTATGCAAGATGTGGAAAAGGAACTCGAAGCTCAGAATGTGAAGAGTCTACAGTACAAGGGTGTGGCCTTAGCAAAGTTCTTTTGTCATGGTAATGCGTCTTTGGGAATCTGTTTTTTTTATTCAGATGGGAAAACCTGGAAACTCAAAGGTCACAAGTTGTTTGGTTCTTGATGCTGCCCCATAGAGTTAAAAAAGTGTAGGTTTGCTGAGCAGGAATACATGCAGATTAAGGAGAAATGCTCTCAGGCGTTTTCAAGGAAAAAGATTGGTGATTTTGTTGAATGTATTGTAACCCGATATACAACCATAATGAATCCCGGAAGTTTCCTACCTCAGACAATCGCATCGGGAACTTCGCGGGTGCTTGCTCGACCACCAATCATCCATGCCGCGAGCTGCCCGGTATGAACGATATTGAACCCGATAAGTGACCGCGGTGCACCCTGTAAGCGCCCGATAGTTGACCCGATTAGCATGCTTGTGAGGCCTAGAGAAGAGTGAAAAATCTTTTGGCGTGTCTTTCATGACAACGACTTGAGCACAAATTGAGCAACTTTTTAGCTCATCTGTCGACATCATCTAGTTTCGTCGATATTACTCATCCGACTGCTGATGTTTATTTTATCACCATAATAACTCAACTCTGTCAGATAGGACCAAATCCGAGAAGCGATACCTAGCCTCATAAAGACTTAGGGTAGCCCCATCGCTGCGACGTACCTCACGAGGGTTGCGCCTTAAACTACAGCGTGTAAGAAGTGCGGCCTTTGATAGGGCCCGCGGCCCGCCGAGTGAGGTGGTTGGGCCGCGACCTTCCCGGTAATCTTTTCCCGATTTCAACTTTGGCCGCGGCGTTCCGGTAAAATATACATGGGCCGCGGCGTGTGCGGCTGAAATTTTAAGGGCCGCGATGCGCCATGTAACACGCTTTGAGGCCGCGAACTTTCCGATGCAATTGTCTGAGTACCATACTAGAAAGTGTAATGCAAGCGCAAAATAGTATCTACTCTTTGATTCAACGAGATAGGCGGCTGGAAGGCGACCGCTCGCACCCGCGACGCAGTCTGCGTCTCTCTTGCGAAAGTGCTCTCTGATCATTCTCTAGCCATAATTAGGTCACGAAGCCCCGCCTTCCAGCCGCCAATTCTCTATATACAGTGACCGCCAAAAAGTTGCGGACAAGCCTCCCTCTCTTTTTCATCGCTCTATTTGAGAAAGAAAACAAGGATAAAAAATGTAGTAATTGCATGAGGTGATAGAGCTCTTCAAGATCTACAATCTACACTTTGCGTTTTTCGAAAAACGTGTCTTCTAAGAATTTTAAAAAACTTTTTCTAAAAAAAGTCCGAAAATGGCCGCGTCACAATGTCGCGGACAATAATTCTTCGAACGCAAAAATTTTCTTTTGAGTCCTATTCTGAAGTGGAAACACAAGTAATCCAAACGGGTAAGCATACTACTATACAGGACTCGTCAAGAACTACACACTGGTTATGGTTGCTTCCCAGAAAACACAAGCTTGAATTTTATTTTGCTTCTTTTCAAAAAACAACTTCTAATTCCCTGCTTTAAGCCAAATTTCTTCACATAGAAAACCATGCAAGACATTCAAACAAAGCTATTCGGATAAAATGGATGCCCTTTGCCATCTTCTATGCATCGGACGTGTGCTGGTAAGTTTCTTTGCTGAAAATTGGCTTCTGACAGTGCGTGTACATGACCCCACCTGCACCTCACCACTGACTTGTACCGCTTTGCAGGCTTGTAACTCGGCTTGTACTCAATTTGTGAGCCTGCCATTAGGCTCATTCGAAAGAACGAGACATCCTCTACACGATGGTATGCAAAAGAGATGGGTATAAGAAACAGCGGAGATTTGGCGGATGGGGTGGAAAAACGCGGCCTCAGTGGTAGGGTGAGGATATCCAGATAAAGTTGAATAGAGCTTCTTTCGCTACCAGTTCAATCCTGGAAGCCTAAAACTGTCAATGTTCTTGTAATAGATCCATTTTGAAGCTCTAGAACTGTTTTGGTGTTGATAAGAGCCTTCACTCCAACCACCACTGAGGCTCTTGACAGTGCGTGCACATGTCCCCACCTGCACCTCACCACTGACTTGTACCGCTTTTGCAGGCTTGTAACTCGGCTTGTACTCAATTTGTGAGCCTAAAATTGCAGGCTCACAAATTGAGTACAAGCCGAGTTACAAGCCTGCAAAGCGGTACAAGTCAGTGGTGAGGTGCAGGTGGGGTCATGTGCACGCACTGTCAAGAGCCATTTTCAGCAAAGAAACTCACCAGCACACGTCCGATGCATAGAAGATGGCAAAGGGCATCCATTTTATCCGAATAGCTTTGTTTGAATGTCTTGCATGGTTTTCTATGTGAAGAAATTTGGCTTGAAGCAGGGAATTAGAAGTTGTTTTTTGAAAAGAAGCAAAATAAAATTCAAGCTTGTGTTTTCTGGGAAGCAACCATAACCAGTGTGTAGTTCTTGACGAGTCCTGTATAGTAGTATGCTTACCCGTTTGGATTACTTGTGTTTCCACTTCAGAATAGGACTCAAAAGAAAATTTTTGCGTTCGAAGAATTACTGTCCGCGACATTGTGACGCGGCCATTTTCGGACTTTTTCTAGAAAAAGATTCTTAAAATTTTCAGAACACATGTTTCTCAAAAAACTCAACGTGTAGATTGTAGATCTTGAAGTGCTCTATCAGCTCATGCAATTATTACATTTTTTCATCCTTGTTTTCCCTCTGAAAAAGAGCGATGAAAAAGGGAGGGAGGCTTGTCCGCAACTTTTTGGCGGTCACTGTATAGAGAATCGTTATGCCCATTCAAAAAAGTGAAATTGCGCGAAACCGCGCGACTCCTGCAGCGAACGCTCTTGCAAATCTAGCACCTTTAGACTACTGGTTCAGTAATCCAGTTGAATCAAAGAGTAGCTGTTCGTCTATTTTGTTCAAGCTCTAGTAGCAACCATCTATAAACTGGCCGACCATTTTTTACTGCTGACATAAACAATCCCCCCCCCCCTTTTTTTAGCCCACAGATGCAGAAATGGGCTCAATATTATCCTTCTTTTACCAGCTGAAAATAGAGAAAACCTGGTCACATGCAGCCGAAATTTAAGGCGCGTGTCTGTCTGACAAAAGAAGTCATAAGACAATTTTAAGCTACTTTTGCATAGCATCATTAGAAAGATTTATCATTCTTGTTGGGTCGGTTGCTAAATCTTATATATAAAGCTGAATGTCTGTTTGTATGTCTGTCTGTATGTATGTATATATGTATGTACGTATGTTCCGAATAGAAAATTCCATTTCTGAACCGATCCGGACCAAACTTGGCACACATACACTACGGGCCCCGGCGGGTGTCATAGGCTACTTTTCGTCATCGATCGATATCGATTTTATCGATTTTTATCGATTTTTTTGCTGAGTTCACCTACGGGGCTGGGAGTTGGCACAGGGGGGTAATCGAGCATGGGGATTCCGAATACAATATTGGTTTTCAGGATTATCGATTACTTTTATCGATTTTATCGATTTTTTTGCAAAGTTTGAGCTAGGGGGCTGGGAGTTGGCACAGGGGGGTAATCGAGCATGGGGATTCCGAATACAATATTGGTTTTCAGGATTATCGATTACTTTTATCGATTTTATCGATTTTTTTGCAAAGTTTGAGCTACGGGGCTGGGAGTTCGCACAGGGGGGTAATCGAGCATGCTGATCACCCCCAGGGGGGTGATCAGCATGCTCGATTACACTCCTGTGCCAAATTCCAGCCCCCTAGCTCAAATTTTCAAAAAATCGATAAAATCGAAAAAGTAATGGACGATCCTGAAAACTAATATTGTGTTCGTAATCTGCATGCTCGATTATCCCCCTGTGCAAACTCCCAGCCCCGCAGGTCAAACTTTACAAAAAAAATCGATAAAATCGATAAAAGTAATGGACGATCCTGAAAACTAATATTGTGTTCGTAAACAGCATGCTCGATTACCCCCCTGTGCAAACTCCCAGCCCCGCAGGTCAAACTTTACAAAAAAAATCGATAAAATCGATAAAAGTAATGGACGATCCTGAAAACTAATGTTGTATTCGGAATCCCCATGCTCGATTACCCCCCTGTGCCAACTCCTAGCCCTGTAGGTGAACTCTGCAAAAAATCGATAAAAATCGGTAAAATCGACATCGATCGATAACGAAAAGTGGACTGTGACACCCGCCGGGGCCCGAAGTGTATGTGTGCCAAGTTTGGTCCGGATACGGCGGAGCCGGGTAAGCCAGCTAGTATATTTATAATATGAAAACCTTGTGCTTTTTTTCATTAAACTTGGCATTTATGACAAACTAGCAGCTTAACGCAAATTTTATTTCATGAATGGATCAAGGGATTAATCTCAATAACTTTGAACGTTGTGTTTTTTTTTTCACTCAGAACATGTAGAGACAGCTCAAGAATGAATCATATTTGATTAACACAACTGCCAACGCAATAACTCGGAAACATCTTAAGGTGGTCCTCACCAAAAAGAATATACATCAATCAACCAAAATTATTTAGGCTGAAATCATCATATGAGTACCAGTCACTTGACTGCTTGGCAAAAGAAGTCTTCTGAACTCTTCTAAAGGATGTGTGATGCGTGATAGATAAGAGCAGGAGTCAAAATAGACACATTTTCCACTTACCGACTGCTATGTCGATCGTGTATTTCACGGAGAATCATCGAAAAAACATAAAACCAACGAACGATTAATCAGTAACGAACAGGTTAACTCGCAACGCACAGATCTAGAAAGAAAACACCAATCGAGAACTTGTTTCCAGTGCGGAAAACATTAGGAGAAGATGAGACTGGACTGCACAAAGAATAGAAAAAAAATTGCCAAGATTCATTTAGTTTGTCTTATATTGGTAAGTTGTGTTGGTTCCACAGGATTAGGTGTATTTGTCTGAGAAGAGCATTATTTGATCTCCAATATGTTTTGCAGGGGAAGAGGGGGGAGGGAGGGAGGGGGGGGGTGGTCAGTTCTTTGTAGGTCATAAAAAATTTTTGAGTCAAGTGTGACTGATGTATAAGAAAAGTATCTACGTACTCTCCCCCTTTTCCCCCAATCTCCGATATTGCCAATGCCAAAATAGATAGAATATCTATTTGCTAGCGTTCAAAATGGGATTTCTGAAGGCTCCCTAAGAAAAATTGACCTTAGCTAATTTTTGATATGTCGGGAATGCACTTACTTGCAACTTTGTAATGTAGAACTTCCCAGCGCATACATTGCTGAACGTAAATATTTTTTCTGGAAATATTGATGAGTAATTTGACATTTATGAGAACATCACATAGAATGCATGCAGCTACGAAACGATTTGCAAATTTGAACAAACGCAAAGCAAAAAAAAAACAGCCAGGACAAGTGAATCAACACCGTTACAGGAGGTGCTGTCGAATTCTTAGCAACTCATATATGACGTATAATACCGTCATATGCATTTCGCATCTCTCTTACATTAGACATTTCTAGCATTGAACGAATAATTTTAGAAATCTTTACTCCTCTAATCTGATTTATCACATCAAACTTCTCATATGATAGATGGGAATTGTGTTCAATGGCGCTTATCAATATAGAATTTGCTTTTGCGATAGCGTGATAAGAATTTTATTGAAGAATGCCAATGTTTGGCGAAGAATTATTCGGAAGCTCCCTTCAAATTTGATTTTTTCTTCCTATGTGCAGCTTTTAGTTCTTTTCCTGAAATGCGTACTTTCTATAAAGAACGATCACTTTCAGTCTGTTATATTTGCGCTGAGTTATTGGAAAATCGCCATCTTTAGAAGGAGTGGCCTACAGTCATCACTGTCCTATTCTATGGTGCAGAATCGAAAATAATCGATGCCCCAACGAATCACATATTGGTATTCACTATACGAGAAGCTTGATAGAAAATTTACGACGTTCTCACTTAATATAGCAGCGGTAAGTAAATACTTTCAGAGTAAATTTTCGAAGACATGGAAAATTAATTTGACAGTTCTTTCAGTTTATCGAAGTCAGATCGTTGTTGAACGTGCCTGAAAAACAGTGGCGAGTATTTTCTGTGCTTGCATATATTCACGTACTACTATCCGTTTGTCTATGTGTGCGTTTCATCTTATTTTTTTCATTTTATTTTTTATTTTTTTGTTAGGTGTGGTTTAACTGAGGTCCCGAATCGATAGCAAGTATACTGTGACAGTCAAGTAAAAAATGGTGTGAGCACGATTTTTACAATTTGCAGAGCTTCATATATTTGCTCAAAACTAGTTCTGATAATTTTTTCTAACAATAGAGTGCAAAGTAAAAACACCTCGAAAGTGTGGTATCAAATTCCAGCACAAATTCATAAATTAAACCAAATTTCGGTACAGAAAGCTTTCTTGTCTTCTCAATACTAGCTTGATCATAAGGTACTTCATGTATTATCTTTTCTAGACTTAACAGCTCAACTGTTATACTTTTTCTGAAGCTCCAGTTCTCAGTTGCGGGAGACCATTCACTTGCTTCCAAAATTTCAAAAAGTTGAAGTAATCAAGGAGCTACAAATCTATAATGTTTGCACTTCCATGTGCCCGATGCAAGCGCTCTCAGATTAGGCTTCATTTGAACATGAGTCATTTCCGCCAAAGAATGAATTTCACATTCATAAAATTGCTGCTGATGTAATCGTTATCGAAGCTTTGCATCCGCGAAAATGCATGTAAAGAATTGATATGCTGTATATATATCGTATATATGTCGTGAAAACTCGCATATCAAGAAATGTGACATCGATGCTCGCAATTATGTGGAGCAAATTCAAAATGTCTATTCAAAAATCAGCGTTCTGTAGCCCCCTCCAAAAATTTTTGCTTCCCATTTTTTTGTGCATGTCTGTAATTTCAATATATTTTATTAAGATGGGTGGCTTCACAAAAAGCCTGTTTGTCGGGACATTTGGATTCGGATGATTCAGATAACCCCTGCGATGCCATAGAAAACTCAAAAATGCTTTGTTCTGTATTAGTTACGATCATTTTATCGCTTCGCAGGCCGAACAAATCGTTTACGCGCTAGTGCTGTCGGCACCGCAAAACCACTATGACCCGTTTAGAATGGAACTTTGGAGGCATTAAAGTTAGCATTTGCAGGTTCTAGGCATTTCATGCTTTTGTATTGGCATGGTTAATTCTATACTCTATGATCGAGTCAGCTGCAGCAACGGTGTGAATCTTTTTGTACCGTTCATTAATGTGGTAAGTGCAGCTAATTCGTTTCAATTTGAGATTGTTTTGCTTTAATAACAAAACTTTTTTTTAAATCTCGCAACAGTTTGAACTCAGATACACGTGAGCGAAATCATATGTCATAAGCGAGTCGATAAGCGTTTGCCTTTATGTAGAAACTTTCACGAATGAAAAAAATCGCCCAAAGTTGTGGTGAGCCCGCCCACTGAGATAATCAACTCCTCACCAGTAACTTAAGCGCTAGAAGCTCACAAGGGAACCGTGTCGAGTCGAAGTGGCCTTTCCAGATGGGACCCATACTGCTTTGAAGAGCATCAATCGATGATTCCAAATCTGCTTTTCAAATCTGCCAAGCGCCTCTTGACGCTGAATTATGCTCGTTCTTCAGGTCAAAAAATTGGACGCAAAACTGAAGCAAAATCGCCCAAATTTGCTCAAATGGTCCAATGTCAAGTACCAGAGCTGTTTGTGCAATGGATACATTTTATTTATTATGCTAATACATAGCATTGCTTTATCTGAGCGCTGGAAAGATTGTAACAATCAATTTTACCTAAATTCTGCATTTATTTATCGTTCCGAAGAACGGTCATAACTCGGCGTCCAGAGGCGCTTGGCAGATTTGGAAGGCAGATTTGGAATCATCGCTTAATACTCTTCAAGGCAGTATGGGTCTCATCTGGAAAGGCCACTTCGACTCGACACGGTTCCCTTGTCAGATTGCGCACAATTTCTAACATGTTGTGTTCTTCGCGGAAAAATTGCAGGGCAGTGCGTCGATATAAAAAAGAGAAGAGAAATCTAATTAAAGCTTGTTCGAATTTTTTCCGCAGGCTGGCACCTTATTTTTTGTATTTCCGTCCATTTCGAAACGCGTATTCTTCTGCAACATTACAGGTAGACCCAGACTAGGCCCAAAATTTGCTCCGATGAATGAGTTTGAAGCTGGCATACGCGTCGCGCTCTTGCGCGCTGTGTGCAGTAATTTGCATCCGACCGTAGAGCGCGCTTTGGTTCAAGAATTTGGCGTAAAATTGCTGATTTTCCCGTTCAGGTTTCATCATTTGCTGGGCTTGTTGCCGTTAGAGCACTACACATGAATTGGCCTCCATTCGTACATGTGGTCACTCTGGTCACAGCTATGTTTTCGCTTTGCGTGGTCTTTAGTGTATCGTGTTTGGAGGCGGAGGAGTACGTTTTTTTTCTAGGTTCCAAATCTTCCATAAATTTTAGTTCTCAACTTTGGCATTTATAGTTGGTACAGGCACGCAGTCAGCACTCCGGAACCCATACCGGATGGAGTGAAGTATAAGAACTGGGCAAAAGTCTTTGCGGATATCGATGTCGCTGTGGTGTTTATAGCAATAGCAAATTGTGAGTAAAACCGCACGGATTTCTTGCTCCCTCCATTTTATCTTATCTTCTTCCCTACCTTAATTCAATAATTACAGTTTCTGTCGCTTTCTGTGAACTTGCAATCTATGCAATGTATTGGTTTCCGCGACCGGGTCGTTCGTAAAACCACATGCTCTTTGTGATCTCGTTTTGGAGTAACGGGTACTTGTACGGGAAAGAAGAAGCCGTTATCATTTTTGCTCTGATGTCCTACGTTATGTAAGACATATATCGTTGATTCGTTGACCGCACGGACCGCTTCAACGCTGCGGACCACGCGCGGCGCGGCTAAGATGTTGCGGGAGCTTGATTTGTACAATGGCAAATTTGTACTGGGGCACAGAATTATAGAACGCAAAAGAAACCAGGGCTACCGTAATCCGAAAATTAGGCGTCAAAGAAATTCTAGGTCCGTAGCTGCACCGTAATTCAAATTTGACGCCTAATTTCCGGCGTCGGAATTTCTGTGACGTACTAGCGGCCCAGTGGAATACTGGTGTAAGAAATTGCTTCCTTGAGCCAAGATTGATATTTACAAAAGTAAATATGCTAAGTGCAATAATGCAATGCAAACACATATGAACGAAGGTATTTTTAGTACTTCTGTATGTATTGAAGCGGCTTCAATGCATCTTCACATAACGAATATCTAACCTTGAATAACAAAACTGCGAATAAAACTCGTTTTCTTTCAATACATAAACTGCTTGAAAGACGCTTAGATTAACAAAGAATTATCGATAGGAAATTATTGAGAATGTGCTTTCAGTAAAGCTCATTCTCGAAAGTAAACATGCACAAACTACACCTCGATTTCTCTGGACTTGATCTGCGCATTAAATAACTTAAATAATGCTTCTCTTTCTCGTAAAGCATCTTTCTCGTGGCCCTTTTTTCTTTCCCCATCCGCTCTCCCCTGAAACCCTCGCAGTCAAATCATCCACTCTCTCTCTCTCTTCGTTACTCAAAGAGACCGTTCAAAATTCCCTTCTTTCAAAAGCTTACTGGCGAAAGACACAGTATGCTCCTCCCCTTCAGAGTATCTCCGATAAGGATGCTCACAGCGTAACCCTTCAACTTAACCGTGCAAAAGCCCTAGACCCCGAACGAAAAAAAGGGTACGCTACTGCAACATACATATAGTTCATTTTTAAAATCGTGACGACGGATTTGACTGCGGTCTTTGCGCCCCAGGAGCATAAAACACTTATTCAAAAAGGCACCACCTCAGAGCTCAACTCAGTCACTTTCCAATGTGTAAATACTATCTACGTGAACAGAAAAACCTTTCAAATACGATGAAAACAAAGAAAATCGGTTACCAGAACACGCGTGCGGTTGCGCGCGGTCGCACCATCTTCATTTTTCGAATGTCCTATATAATGAATGTAGTCTATACGTGAGCACGCCGCGTTCTGCAGCGCATTCAGCCTAAGCGCGAAAGAAGGGGAAGAAAACCTTCTTCGCTTGCCAAGTTAGAGTGATGCAAATCATCCATGATACATGCTAACAATTCATCCATCGACACTTGTTTCTTTAATATGGCCACTACCGGAACTCTTTGAAAAAAATTTTAGACTGTGCTTTGATTACTTTCAAAACACTAAATACTTGTAACATCGTTCCAAAAAAAGGTTGAAAGAATTAAGTATTTAGTGTTTTGTAAGTACTCAAAATTGCAGAAAATGTTATCATCAGAACCAAAATCACAAAAAGCTGCAGCGCTTTCAACTGCTATGCTAACTTTGAGCGCTCATAACTCACCACCACTGAAGATTGGTTGAGGGGAACGGTACCAATAAAAAGAGGACAACAAGCTCTTAAGCAAAAGTGCTCTTAGATTTTTGAATTATTTTCATTGTAGGGTCGAAATACGGCTCTCAAGTGGAGGTACCTTCGAATCTTGATGCATCAAGTTTGCGGCGAATGTTAAAAAGTGCTAATCAATACGTTGCTATTTTTCTGTTATAGAATGATATGTGGAGAAGTCAGCTGTTTTTTGGAGGCTTCTAATGTTAGCAGCAAAAAAGACCCCCATGACGAGGAATCGAACCCGGGCCTGGCAGCCGACAGTCTCACCCACTAGCCACTAAGCCATGAATGACGCGTTCCAACATCGAGATAAGGCGCCCTACAAGCTTTTCTTTTCCTATTCTGAAGCAAGAAATGTTGAAGAAGGAAGATGGGGTTCAGGGTACGGTATTCGGGCTCACGCAACGAATTTAAAGGCCGCTTCAAAAAGTGCTAATCAATACGTTGCTATTTTTCTGTTATAGAATGATTTACTTCGGACTTTGTGCCGCGGCAAACGCCCTGTGGCTATGGCTGGATAACAGTGCTAACGTCATCGCACCGCTTTGGAATTGAAGAATCGTGAGAACCTCACACGTCGCTTACTGATGGAATACTTGTAGTCAAAGCAAATAGTTACATGTTTTCTTTTTCTGTAATCGAACTTGTAAATAATGTAGACTATGAAAGCATATTTAGCTCATCGTTGTTCATTAGCGGGCAGTAATTGTTACATCTTCTCAATCACTATGTTCTCATCACCTGAGAATGTGTTGTTGAGAGTAACAAGCCATTCTTTATTCGTAGATCTGGAAATCCCTCCAAAAGTTATTAAGAAGTGTTGTGATGGTAATCATGTGCTAGCCATTGTTCCATACGAAACTCTCTATAAAAACTGTAGCCAGAGTTATCTATATATATAAAACTCAAAAATTGTCAGTTTGGAGGGTATGTGCGTTATAGAAACGCGCGCCACTCAACCGAATCAGCTGAAACTTTGCACACATATGTTTTCGACCCTTGCGCAGATGATAGGCTACTTTTTGCGGCGATTCGTTGGGTCCTTCTATCGATTTATTGATTTGTTTACATTTTCCTAAGGAATTGAAGGGTTATCATGTTCAATCAAGCATTTTCCATACTCATGTAAAAAAGGGCGGTGAAGCTCATTTTCACCTCAGGATCACGAGGATGCGGTTTCCAGCGGATGTCCCAGGGTAAGTCATCCTACCGTATAGGGCGGGGGTGGGGGGGGGGGGCGGCTCGCAGTGCGGTGAACCATGGCCCGGGCTGGACCGGGAAAGCCAACTAGTCTTCTATATATGTAAACTGAGGGAAGATATGTGATTACAAGATTGCAATCCATTTTTCTTTTGTTTATTGCCTGCTGCTGCAGATATTGATCTTCCTGTTGTGATTTTAGAATTGTGTTGCCATAACAGGGGATTATAGAAACTTACATCAGATTGAAATAGGGCACTTACGGGCAATCCAAGTTGTATCAAAAAACCATTTTTACTCTTCATATCTACAATATTTCCTGTTCTACCGAAGAAAAGTGGAAAATATTTAATCCCTTTTAAGATTGGGCACGATGTTACGAAGCCATTTCCATATGTTTCACTTCCTAATTAGGCGCGGGGGACTTTTTTGTTTGAAATAGACCAGCCCAAACACGCCAAGGGACTTCGCAAACAAAGGACCCTATACGTGTTGTGCATTGCCTAAGAGAATTGAATGTCCGCTTCCAAAACAGTGAAGAGACCGAGCAGCTCGCTTATTCGAAAAACTGCGGCTTATAAAATACCGCTCGTATAATTGAAAAAATGACGCGCAGTCACAGTCAGGATTTATGAGACATCACTGTAGCATGGCTATATCTCGCTTCAGAGTGGAAGAATTCTTGATTCATTCAGACGTATCCTGGCATTCCGAGCCTGAGGTGACTGGCGCTTGAACGCACACGCGGCACAAGGTTAAATAGAGGCGGCCGCGCGAGTCGCTGGAGTAAACGGTGCTGTCGTTGAAACAGCATGTAAGCATTAACTTAACTGCACACAAATCTCAACCCACACATGAAAGAGAATTATTCTGCCGATCACAATATGGGGTCTCCTTGCAAACGGAATCGTTGATTTTCCAGGTTTCCAAAGATGTTTCTCCAAGTTTAACGCATGCAAATCCGACATTTGAACTCAAACTTCAAACTTTATGAACTTTGCCAAAACAACTTTGCCGAATTGCAGCAAAAGCCATAACCGCGGGCCGAAACATATCTATTTGAAACGCACACGAAAATGCGATCCACGAAGGCTAAGCACCAGAGGCAGGGACCCGACGCCGGAAATTAGGCGTCAAATTTGAATTACGGTGCAGCTACCGACCTCGAATTTCTTTAACGCCTAATTTTCGGATTACGGTAGCCCTGGTTTCTTTTGCGTTCTATAATTCTGTTACTGGGGCAAGCGTTTTACCTCGCGGCGCGTGCTCTAGTGATTTCCAGTCCGTGCGGTCAACGAATGAGCTATACAATCTAGTAGATTTGAAGATTAATGTAGTGTTACTGCGGTGACGACAAACGTTAGCGCGGAAAAAAAGTTATGTTCGTAAATGCCACACTCTTGCAATTGGTGTAAAAATGGCCATAGAGCGACATTGCCACTATTTGCGCATAACTGATGTCGGAAGCGCAGGAACACTATGCCAGTATTGGAGCTACGAGGCTATCTCAAATCAAAATCGGTGTAAAACCAAGATACAAGAAATGCGGCCATTTTCATTTTTTTTCGAAGTGTTTTGCTTATCACGTGTAGTGAAGGTTCAAATATAACAGCATATGCAAAGAATTTTTATTCTCTGTGAAGAACATTTCTGCACAAGGTCCAAATTATCCATTTACTGCTGTACCGTCTTTCGCCGGAGTAGTTCCGGTGTTTATCATGTGTTCGTTGTGAATGAATAATTGTGCAATATAAAGCTGACGAGGCATTTGAAAGCTTAACAGAGAGTTGTACATTCTTTCTCCACAAGTAATTACTGTAGAGCAGATCTGATTGATATGATCATAAATAGGTAAATATGATTAATACAGTCAAAGCGTTGGCGTTTCAATTGATGACCACTACTTTACATATCTTCACCTAACTTGCAGAAATACATGTAATTTGAGCGGAAATTCTGCTGATCAGCTCTGGAAAATGCGCTAAACTAATTTTGTGCTACTACCAGTCTCTGTCAAATTCCAAACTTGCTCTTGGCGATTATCAAGAATTTATTACTGTCAAAGCACGAGTTCAGCAGATGTTCTAACTTCAAAGGCGTAAGCATGAAATGTATTAGTGGATTGAAATCACTGCTGTGAATCCTTTTGTATTCTTTTGGAATGGCTGCCTAACACTGATAGATAGGGCTTACTCATAGTCAATATGAAGGCACTCTGGTGTAAGAATTTATTGCTTTTTGAGCAGCAGTATACCCAAAGCCTGGTAAAGGCCAGTCATTTTGGAGAAGCAGCATTAGAAAATACTTCGGCAAAATCGCTATCTCT